TTGATCGAAATCAAGTCGTCATGTTCTGCTATCAGATGGATTCGATTTGATTTTCTCCCCAGCTACTGTTGAATCATTGCATCGATTGCGAAGCAAGAAGAAAAACAGGGAATCACGAAGCAGTTTCGATTTATTTGATGTTCTTCTGTTTTCACCGATAGATTATGAGATCAAGTTTCGATTGAGTTTTGAATGGCATCGGAAGCTGTAGATCCATTGATTTGAGCTTCGTCTTTGGTTCAATCTTGCTTGTGAGCTTCGAATCTTACCTTCGGCGAAACAAGGGAGGAAGTCATGCAATCGTTCATCTAAATATGGATTTTCTTCAAGTTTTTCACTGATCGTTTGCTTCTTTGAACCTGAACTTTTGTTTTGTTCAGCATCGATTGATTATTTTCTGCTATCAGAAAGTTTGACGCGTATTTTCGACTCCGATTCAGTTGGATCAGTGCAACGACGGCGACGCTTGGAAGAAAACCGATGAATAGTGATGATGGATTAACTCGCGAGTCTCGTCGATCTCAGTTTTGTCCATCGGTTGTTTCGTCGATCTGTTCAGAGATCTTCCCGTTGTGAAGATATCTCTCTATCCGTTGAGTTTGTTTTGCACCAATTTTAGTTGATTCAAGCGTTGATATCAATTGAGCTTGATCCGTGATTGTTGTTCTGATGGATTTAAGTTCATTATTTTCTGGTTTTGTTGAGTTTATAGCTCCATTAGGAACTATTCATGTCAATGACAAGCAATTTGGAGAATGTACAATGCTGCATTTGAAGAAAGATTTGATGTTCATCTATGCTTCTCTTCCAAGAGCCCCAGATGTTCGATTTCCTGTGGTATGTGCATGTTTTTTTACTTGCTTTCCCAGTTTGAAGATTTTAGAACACTGGATGTTGTCGAGTCTTGGATATATATGGCTAGTAGACATGCTTAGACATGGGCTGATTTGTTTAGATGATTATAGGCAGAATCATACTTGCGGTGTTGATATCAAATGCTTAGATCTTGCTGCAGTTCATATGACATATGTGATTGATCTTCCTGTGTTATGTCATGTTGCTGCGAGAGTACCTCAGTCCAGGTCTCGCGTTACAACACATATGAGAAGAATGCAAAGGATTTGTCATTTCTCTGCAGTGGTTCAGTTTGCTATGTTGCAGCTGATCCTAGAGTTAGGACATCTTGTTTTCCAGTTCAGATTCTATGCGCAGCTTGTTTCAAGAGAATGCAATATGTATTGCTTGCTTCTCACTTATCCTCCCTGGATGGTTACAAGATTAAGAGTATTATTTTGTTCATCTCAAGAGCGTGCTTTTGAAGTTTTTCTATATGTTCACAAGCTTTGGTTTGCTGCTTCTGTCTTGCATCTCGTCGTAGAACAAACGTTTCTACAGCGACAAATCCGTATGCTTCTGACTCGTTCTGGATGGTACATGTCCATACTTGATTTCCTTTATTGTTCATTACCGAGACCACCAGAAGATCTTTATGAATTCAATTTCACTCTCCTCCAATTCATCTTGTGTTCTTCATGTCCAAGATGTAAGGGATTACATCTTCAGGGGGGTATTAGATATGTTAATGTGGTTTACACATTAGCCTTTGGTTTAGTGAACCGGCGTCTGTACCGGATAGATTAATTGTGGATATAATTACTTGTACATCGTCATTTTACTCTTAACAGAAACATTATTATTTTCCAAATCCTCTCGAGTTCACGATCTTCGTCTTCGTCATCTCACAATAGAGATTTTGTTTCTGTTCAATCTTAGTTTCTAATAAAAGTTTAAGGCTGGTGATGGACCTCTCACAAAGGCATGTTCCTGAGAGGAGTTACTTGGAGTTATCATGTACCAGTCAAATGTAGTACATAGTATACAAGAAGTGATACAGATACTGAGTTGTGTGGTTTGTGAAGAGGAGCTCGTGTATTGATATTCACAAGCGTGGATTTAGCTAAAGAAAGGAAAAATATATTTACTTGGAGAAAAAAGAAAAAGAGATTTGAAGAATATATTTTAGAGGAAAAAAAGGAAATGATAACTACAAGGAAGAAAATTTTCTTAAGGTTAATCATTGCTCTAGAGGGAGGCTCGTGGCTGGAGTTTCCTTACGCCGTTGGTTGCGTGCCGTTGCCAACCGTGCATGTTGGTGTGTGGAGGTTCCACAAACCTCAAGTCTAGGCTCATGGGGAGTTTAGCTCAGGATTAGGTTATCCTGAAGAATCCATGTTCTGGTTCTAGTGGATTTGATTTCTGGACGTGGTCCCATGGAGTAGGAAACGAACCTCGTTAAAAAATTTCTTGTGTTATTTATCTTCTGTACTACAAATAGCCTCACCTACGTTTACAAGTGGTATCAGAGCGGGTTCTCGATAGAGATTCTGTAACACCCCTGATCTGCGGTCACCGCATCCTGACCAGAGATGCTGCAACCCCCACTCGAGAACTACCAAGCCAAAGTTCCAAAAACGGATTCTGGTTCCTGGCCCAACGGTCCGCGAGCGGTTTCCCCCGTCCGACCCGATCCTAAGGCTTTTCAACCTAAAACTGGTCAATACGATTGGTTTGGTC